TACCCCCTGGAAGGGTACAAATTACAAATTACTCGCACGATTTTACATTTTATTTGTTATCAGCTGTTGGCAGAGCGATTATCTCAAAGTACACACACTTTTTGCTGCTGCGGATGTATTCGAAGCTCTTGATACTTGAATACACATATTGTAGTGCTCTCCAAATACGAGTAATTGGATTTAGTTTCACGGTCTTGAACTTTCATCAAACAGTTTGCGCAATGAAAAACAAATATAAACGTTTTATTAAAAAAGTTATGCCTTAAAAAAGCATCTACTAATAGTCGAATTACACTCACTTAAAGTTCTACTCGTTTACTCGTTAGTTCTTTAATGTTAATGTTTCGAAATTGGTACAAAAAAAAAGTACTTCGCCTGTGGTTTTATTCACTGATTAGTGATCCAGAAATTAATTCAAAAATCATGAGCTGCATTTAAAATTATAATAAAAAAAAGAAAGAGATTTGTTCAAAAATCATGAGCTGCATTTAAAATTATAATTCAGATTTTTTAACTCAAAGGATTTATAGGGGCAAACATTCCATTACTCAACTTTTTGCCAAAACCAATGCAGAATTTTCCATGTATATTTTATTGGCTTTGCGTTTTTTGCTCTAACACAATATATTCAGTCAGGCTTGAAATTTTAACGAGATATGCATTTTCACAAAAAAGAATACATATGTCGAAAACAATTATTTTACTCGCAAATTTCAACCAATTGAATGTGGGAATAGTACTGTGAAATCATTCATGGGTTTGCGTATTTTTTCGGGTTAAATCAATATACAAATTTCAAGCATTAAAGTTTTAAAGAGAATAAATTAAACAATAAATTTATTTTGGTAGATAAATACGATATACATTTGGAGATAAATTCTTAAATCAGATGTGGTTGGATCGCCTATTCTAAACACGAATATTCTTCAGTGGCTTTCCTCTACATTAATGAATATATGTTCTATATAGTCATGAGGGCTGTGAAAGATGGGGAACTATATTTGATCAGGTTGGACATACAAATCGTTCGCCAGAATTGATTATAGGGGCGAAAGACCCATCGACCCATCTAGTAGCTGGTAGCAGCCCGAAGTACACTAAAAGTACACGGTATTAAAGTGTTTCCTACGCCTGAACTCTATCAACACTTTGATTAGGAATATGTGGGCATTCACATCAAAGATCACGATGCTAGACACCAATATCGCCGCTTTTTGCGGGCCTAATCGAATCGGCCTTATCAAGCCGACTGCCGATCAGACGATGTTGCCTCAACATTGAAAGCATTTTCTCAGAATCGAGGCACAGAGCAAACTGTAGGGCCAGATAAAACATCCCATTTGATACCCTATGGGGTACTTGAAAAACGAGCGGAAAAATCGAATGTACTATCATAAATATTTATGTCTACTCTAATTCTTAAGTTTCTCGCATTTTTCTCAGAAATACGACGCAGCCATCGTTCGCTCGGATACGAAAATAACCGCGGAAGTTCTGGCCGCCGGAGCCGGCAGTCTGAAGGTTGTGGGCCGTGCCGGGGCCGGGGTGGACAACATCGATGTGCCTGCAGCGACAGCGCATAATGTCGTTGTCCTTAAGTAAGTGCTCCTTAAGCCGTTAGTGCAAGCCCTGGGGGGGGGATGGAGGATGGGGCGATGGAGCTTGTCGATAGCCCAAAATTATGCGCATTTTCAATCGGCGGATTGGCCGTCGCTATCGTATTGCAGCCTCCACCCAGACCGCGACCCGGGTGGGTCAATTGCCGCCGTTTGACACGCATAATTAAGGGACCCCGAGTGTCGCGGGGAGTGGGGGCAATGGGGTCTGCGATGTCACAAGCCACAGCGCATTGCCAAGGATACGGAGCAAAGCGCGAAAATTTGCCATATTTTTTTGCCTCTTGGTTTCTTTTTTTTTTTCTTCTATTTGGAAGGGCATTTGCATAATGCTGTCTAGTCACAACAAACGCCCGCGCCCCCACCCCCCGCTCCGCGACTGTCGTCTGTCACGGCATTTAGGGAATGTTTAACTAAACTCCGTCGCTTTCAGCACTCCGGGTGGCAATTCTATTTCTGCCTGTGAGCTGACGTGCATCCTAATTGGTGCCCTGGCCAGACCCGTCGTCCCCGCCGGGCAGAGTATGAAGGAGGGTCGCTGGGACAGGAAGCTCTACAGCGGCACGGAGCTCTACGGCAAGACCCTGGCCGTCCTGGGCCTGGGCCGCATCGGACGCGAGGTGGCCATCCGCATGAAGACGTGGGGCATGAAGGTGGGTTTCAACAAGTTCCATTTTGCCTTGGACACAATACTAATTGAAGGTGGAATGTTTTTGTAGATAATTGGCTACGATCCCATCACCACGGAGGCTGAGGCCAAGGCTGTGGGGATTCAGAAGCTCTCCCTGGAGGAGATCTGGCCACTAGCCGACTATATAACGGTGCACACGCCTCTGATTCCGGCCACCAGAAGTGAGTAATCAACGGGTGTCCTGAAATATGTATTTATCGATGTCCCTTTCCTTCTGTTTCACAGATCTCATCTCCACGGAGACTCTGGCCAAGTGCAAGAAGGGCGTCAAGGTCGTGAACGTGGCTCGGGGCGGCATCATAGATGAGCAGGCCATCATCGACGCCCTTGAGAGTGGCCAAGTGGCCGGGGCCGCCTTCGACGTGTATCCCGAGGAGCCGCCCAAGTCTGCGGTCACCAAGGCCCTCATCAGTCACCCGAAGGTGGTGGCCACGCCCCATTTGGGAGCCAGCACAGCGGAGGCGCAAGTGCGTGTTGCCGTCGAGGTGGCAGAGCAGTTCATCGCCCTCAATGGCACATCCCCGAAGTACACGAGCACCGCGGGCGTTATCAACAAGGAGGCCCTCGCCCATTATCAGTAGAGCCCGGACGGCCCCAAGGAGAAATTCGAATTAATGCATTCTCAGAACATTACAACGTTCTCTTGCCAGTTTTATGAAGAGGATTGGCAGCACTCATTGTAAATACAAAACAGGAATAAACATAGCAGAACTGTTATTTCACCGCAAACAGAAGATTGTACTTTAAGCAGACAAAGAGAGAGAGAGACGGCCTCGTAAGTCAAGCATAAGAAGGAGAGCCAGAAGCAAGGCTCATTCTTTTTGGCAGTCTTTTTCTCAAACAGCAAGAAAGCTCAAGCTCGCTGTCTTGATTCTTAAAGAAAGCTAAGGAAGAATGAGTGAAGCCTTTGCCAGTATTCAAGCTCAAACTCTCTCTCTCTCTCTCTCTCTTCCAAGTCCGGCTGTAACTCAGTTTAAAGCTCTTCGCCAACCAACGATCTGCAAGGGTATCAAAAGCTTCCTTCGCCAAAGCTAGTCTCTCTCTTGCTTTCATTCGTATACAGCCAAACAGTAAGAAAATGCGAACAGACTCTTTTTTTCTTGCTCTCTCTGAATGTCTGACTGTGGGACTGCAGGCAATGGAAACAAGAGAGTGAGAGTACAATTTTCTGCTCGACTGTCTTTACATGTGTCTGTGTGTGTGCGTGCCTTGGGCAAGTGTGAAACCCTCCAACTGTACCAACAATGACCGGCTTACATCTACTTATCACAACACTTATTGCCGTTTAATGCTGTTTGCCGATTATAGTTGTAAGTATTTAAGTAGTGCGACATGGAAAAAAAACTATTTCCCATATATTTTTATTTATTTAATAATTTAAAAAGCTTTATTATGGTTTTCATTGAAACGATGATAGCTTTTTGGCCTCGGTAACCAAATATGAATGCATGGATGCACGAATTCAGTGGATTCAGCCCTCCTCACACCCAACCGACCGAGGGGCGCTGCCGCATGACGCATATGTACATGCAGGAATGATAGATGTAAGACTAACACTTCAGAAAAGGGTATACAAATAATCCTTTGTATTGGAAATAGTGCTCAGAATACGACTTCTGCTGATTACAAACTGATGCTCGGTATAGCAGTCAGCTTTTACAGTTTCATGGCAGACAGCTTTAGGTGTCTCACAGCAGCCATCTTTATTCATTATGAATCCTTAATGGGATTGGAGATTAAACCATCAGCCCAATCCTTTCGAGAGTACAAACGTGCCCCTCCTTCGAATATGTATGTCACCGTGCCATTAGATTGAACATTGTCAAAAGTCAATTAGCGGGTGGTTTCCTTTGGCGGACATCTGTGTTAATCGAAAAAGTTCTCATCTACTCCCTCGACCTCGACCTCGGAGGGAATCTCCTTTTGGCACATCTCCTTTGGGTGGGCTAACCCTCTCGCACATAGGGGGGCTAGCCCTCTGAAGAAAATCCATTTCCCAACTTTTGTCTAAAGAACAATGAACTAATGTACCATCGGATAAGGAGTTTACTTGTGTGTCTTAGACGGTGCCACTAACCATACAGTGTATAGAAAATATACGATATATACGATAGCCAAAAGTACAAGGATAGAGGGCAGAACGAAGTGACAGCAAATAATAATGAATAACCATTCATATGTATGTAAAATGTGGTACGACCCAATCTAGTCCCCAGAAACCAAGACCTTTACGAGCGCCGCACATTGGGCCATCAGCCGAAAGGAGGTGGCAACGGTCAAAGAATATTATGAGCTCTTTGGATAATATCTGTTGGAAAATTGTAAAGAAATTGTAAAAAGTAAGATCTTTGACGTATGATTATATTTTTGGTATGTTTTATTAGCTCCATGATTTTATTTCAATTCCCAATAAAGAAAAAGCTGATCTGTTGCATAAACAGTGCTAAAGAAGAGCCTATTTCCCAAACCTTATCATTGTTGATGTGTTTTTCGACATTGAATTGACTTTACAAAAATATGTTCCTGAATTTCCCTAAAATTTTGCTTCTATATTGTCTTGGAATATTTGTTTATGAAAGTGTCAAAGTAGGCATACAATCCCTTAGCCTATCATAGGCGGCCGAGCATCCTGCTTCAGGTGAGAAATCATTACAAGTGAGTTTTTGTGAAGGAAATCATAACGTTGTGAGAGAGCAAACGGGAAACAGTATCGAAAAAGTGCTAAGGACTAAGCAAAGCCACTGCTAACAGCGCAAAAATTCAACTGAAGGAAGAGGACTACAGAGGACAACAGTATTTGACAGAATGGCGCCCGCAAAGGCAACCAGATCCAGCCGGGCTACCGGAACCAGTCAGGCCGCTATGAGCGTGGCCATCAAGAAGGAAAAGGTCAAACGCTCTGCCCTGGGCGACAACTGCAATCTTAGCCATGCCAAGATAATGGCGCTGCATCAGGACAAAGAGAACTGCCACGGGGTTTTGGACGAAGGCAAACGCTCGAAGGCAACGATCTATAAGAAGACCGTTTTGGGGGAGATCCCCAATGGCGACATGGTCCAGATTCCATGCAGATCCCAGGCCCAAGCCCAAGCCCAAGGAGTGTCCCTCAAGCCGCTGCGTCGCATTTCCAACAAGACTACGGATAGCCTTTACCCGTCTGCCTTGGAGGACGTCTCCACCTGCGGCGCCTCTTTGCATCCCACCGCCGATGCCTGGGCGCCGGTGGTGCCTCGGCGACGCGTCCCGCGAGGTGTGGTGGACTTTGATCAGAAGAACTGGGACGACCCCTTGCAGGTCTCGCACTACTCCATGGAGATCTTCAACTATCTGAAGACACGCGAGCCGGCGTTCGCCATCGGGGACTACATGCCGCGACAGATCCACCTGACCACGGACATGCGGGCCGTGCTGGTCGACTGGATGGTCGAGTTGCAAGAGAACTTCAGGCTCTACCACGAGACCCTGTACTTGGCTGTGAAGATCGTGGACCTCTACTTGTGCCGCGCAGTCATCAAGAAGGAGCAGCTGCAGCTCCTGGGGATCACAGCCTTCTTCATTGCCAGCAAGTACGACGAGTGCCTGCCCCTCCGGATCTGGGAGTTGCTGTACATTTGCGACGGGGCCTACAGCCGCGACGAGCTGGTCAAGATGGAGCTCGAAACGCTGCGCCTCATCCAGTACGACCTGGGCATTCCCCTGTCCTACAGCTTCCTGCGTCGCTACGCCCGTTGTGCCCAGGTCCAGAGGCGCACTCTGACCCTGGCTCGCTACATCCTGGAGCTGTCGCTGATGGACTACGCCGCAATTGGGTTCAGGGACTCGCAGATGGCATCGGCCGCCCTCTACATGGCCCTGCGCATGCGCGCCGGCGCCTCACACCTGGACCAACAGACCTGGACCCCGACTCTGGTCCACTACACGGGCTTCCAGCTGGCGGAATTCGCCGAGATCGTGCCCGTCCTGAATGCCGGCCTCCATCGCAGGCCGTGTGACACCATCAAGATAATACGCAACAAGTACTCGGACAAGATATTCCACGAGGTGGCCAAGGTGCCTCTGCTCACCAACCAGGAGCTGTTCCAGAACAACCTGGCCCCAAAACATAAAAGCAGAACCCACCTCTGAAGAGGACACACGCAATGTCCCCTGCCCCCTTCCTATCCCGGGCATATTCCCACACAAGTTTATATATTTTTGTGATCTATTTTATGTTACTATTTATTTTTGATTTATTTGTATTATTGTGACTTTTGCATTAGTATTACATAAATATTATATTCAGTTTATTAAGCACGGTATTTGTGTTGAGTTTGGATGGGTGTAACGCCCAGAAGAAAGCGTTTCCGACCCCATAAAGAATATATATTCTTGATTAGCCAAGTCGATACATCTTTGTCTGTCTTTCTGGCTGTCTGTTTTGAAGGTACGAGGAGGTACCATATCTGGCAGACTGCCGAATCTACTATTATAACAAGAATGAGGATACCAATTTTCTGTAGCTACACTTCCCCTGCCACACGCGGACTCTTTCTCTCTCTTTTTCTCACACACTTCCTCGTGCAGTGTGCGCCCCAGAAGAGGAGCGAGAATTTGTGTTGGTGTGAGATTAAGGAAAGAGATAGGTGTGCAAAAATTTAAAGAATATATATGTAGATAAATTGTTCTATAGTTTCTAATGATGAAAATATGATAAACAAAGGTAATTCCTCTATTTCTCTATATGTTTTATCCAGCTCTCATAACAATACGACCAAAATTGAGAGAAATCATGGAGACATCGCTCCGTCCTTGCATTAAACAACAAAAGCAATACGTTCAAAAGAGAGACAGAGACAGAGAAAGAAGGAGAGAATCTCTACGGCAAAACGCAACAAATATTTTGTTCTACCATTTAATTAACTTATTTCGTAAGCCACCAACAACAAAAACATAATGAATAATAGACGGCGATTCCCTTCTTTCCAGCAATTCAGTGAAATTTATGGGACAGTTTTATTTAACTCCTGACTTTCTGATGAAATAAACCAAAATTAATATCTCCAAAGAAATTTACTGGTGCATAAATATTTTGGCCATTAAATGCAACTGCAAGCCAAGTATCCGCATGTCCTGTCAAATGAAAACTGCTCCTGGCATATACTCGTATGCCACATCATTCACAGTTCAGAAGGCCTGGGAGAAGGGTTGTCAATCCCAGGGTCGGCCTTATTTGGATGTGCGCAAATATTAAAGCACCTGAAACGGCTGGAAACATGATGCCATGTCTGGGGCAGCATGCCAACCAGACTCCGTCAGGGTACAGAGAGAAGGAAGGACTCCCTTCCGTCAGGAGTTAAAATTAAAATTTAATTTCAATTAGCTTATGTTGCAGCTCAAATGGAATCAAATTTTGAGCCAGAATTGAAATTGAACTAGGACCTGAACATAAAACGCACTCAGACATAGAAATGACGTCTGACGGAATGTCCTTGTACATATGTATGTACATTAGAGCATGCATACAGTGCGTTTCAGGACAGTCAGTTTAAGAGTGGAGTTGATAGATGGATTACTTCCACTAGCACGTCGCTTACATTCGAGAAGGGCAGAGGTTATATTCCGCTTTCAGGCGTGATTTGCACCAGAAGTTGTATCGAAACTTTTGGGATGTACACGAAACAACGAACAACAGAACGAAATCTGAGGGATTATTATTAATTACTTGTAGTCAGGCCTTTATTTCCGGTTGCCTAACAACTCCGGGTCGCACTGTACGCCCTTGGAGCGACTACCGTACGGAATGTTGTATTCAGTTACAAATTACCTTATCAATGAACCAGTGCGGGTCTCGCGAGTCAATTTGGAATACATACCTGAGACAGGCACAAAAGAATTGGAGTGTAATGCGTAATGGGACATGTGATGCCGTTCACTGGGCCAAAACAATTCAATTAGCTGTCATCGAGTACTTGGATGGATACTTGTGTAATTGAACAAACACAATTAGGGAGCATACGCGACCGTCCTGACGTGAGAGTACTGGCGGTAATCGGATCTATGAGCTGTGAAAATTAGCCCACTCATATGTAAATTCCTTCTAAAATGCTTCTCAGCAAATCCTATTAACCCACTCATTGAAGAAGACTCTCGAAATTAGCATAAAAAGCATTGGGATGACCCTGAACCTGAACTTGAAAAATGCATGTGGGAACCGGGTCAAATTTGCTCCCGCTCATTGCGGCCGAGTTAGCAGAAAGCTCTGACCATGACAATGCAAATGGGAATTGAAAACTAAAATACTGATTTAAACTGAAGCCAGAATTAAATCTTTCATTTGTCCTCCCATGAGAACCGTTGATCCATGCCATCCACAGAAACTGCAAACGAAACGCACAAAATGATTTCCAATAAGAGCAACAATTCTAGGCTTTCATTTATTAATATGAGGTGAGGTACTAGAGGGACAAAAGAGAGTCAGATCAGCCGTACTGTGAATGCCTCACCCTTTCATGAACTTTACTTGGGACTTGGACTCATTCCTTTTCTATTCTCTTCTTTACTGCATCCCACTCCTACTCCCGAGTGAGTAATGGGAGTGGGAAAGGGACAACACTTGACGAATTTTCAAGCACGCACACACAAACACATAGCTGGAACTCACGTGATCAAACGAAAAAATGGCAACACCACGGAATAATAACACATTTCAGATTTTGGCCCTTTAAAAATATGAAATTATGTTAAAATAATATGTTTATCTGTACTAACATAACACATTTTAAATATATATCACACATTGCCGTCCCTTTCCTTCGTCAAGCTGCCTTTTTGTCGCCATCTTGAATCTTTCTGATCTGATTTTCTTGCAATAAAACACGTTTTTGTATATAATCAGTGCATCACTATACTAAACTTCACTTTGCACATCTGCGCTACATTTTACCCGTTGGATTTTTCACTATTTTCCGAATTTTCAGGGATTGAAACGCGGAGCTGACCTACAAACACGCGCTTTGACCGGGCGAAAAAATTATAATGAGAGCGGTGCAAATGCGTTCATTCTATGCTCTCCTTCTACTCTTCCTTATTGCTCTCTCTCTCCCACGCACACTTCAACTACTTGTATAATTTCATCATGCTCCTTGTCTTCTTCCTCTGCTACTGAAAAGAGTGATCAAAAGAGTGTTGGAGTGGGAGTGAGATGGAGTGACTGGCGAGAGGGTTACGCTACAATGCGCGTGCTGAAATTATCTAATATAAATAAATTATTTCATATCTCTTGATGATCCTGGTCCTAAATTAATTGATTTAAAGACAGCTTTGAAGTAAAAGAAGATGAAGATAAGGAGTAGAGTTAAGCATAAGCAAAAGTACTCGAGAGAGCGTGGGAGAGAGAGCAATTAGGAAGAGGAGAAGGAGAGCATAGAATGAACGCATTTGCACCGCTCTCATTCTAATTTTTTCGTCCGGTCAAAGCGCGTGTTTGTAGGTCAGCTCCGCGTTTCAATCCCTGAAAATTCGGAAAATAATGAAAAATCCAACGAATCAAATGTCGGGCAGGTGTGTAGTGAAGCGCAGTGTAGTGATGTAGAAATTTGATACAAAAACAGTGCTTCAGTGTTTGATCAAGGGCGGAAAAGAGGCAAAATGGCGACAAAAATGCTGCTTGATGAAGGAAAAGTGCGGCAATGGGTAATATTAAAGTGCAATATTGGATACACATGTAGAAAAACATATTATTTTTGCATACTTTATTTTCGTTTATGTTTCAAAATCTAAAATAAGTAATTGTTTTGTTGTCTCGCCATTTTTTCGTTTGATCACGTGAGTTCCAGCTGTGTGTGTGGGTGTGTGTGCTTGAAAATTCGTCAAGTTTTGTCCCTTTCCCACTCCCATTACTCGGGAGTAGTAGTGGGATGCAAAGGAGAAGAGAATCGAAAAGGAATGAGTCCAAGTTCCAAGTAAAGTTCATGAAAGGGTGAGGCATTCCCAATGCTGCTGATCTGACTCGCTTTTGTCCCTCTAGTGCCTCACCTCATATTAATAAATTATTGACTGAAATTTGTGCTCTTATTGGAAATCATTTTATGCGTTCCGTTAGCGGTTTCTGTGCGATTTTGTCGTAACTTCGTAACACGTAGTACCATGACTCTCTTCATCAGAATCGTCCGAATCGGAGCAAGTAAGCGAGAAGAGCGATGACAGAAACAATGTTGTTCATTACCATTCCACTTTTATTTTCTTTGTGGGGTGGGGAACGCATCCTTCTGGGTGTAACGCACATCCATTTCCCCCATCGAATATCGGGTATAAAAATAGCCCAGAACAATACGTGAATTAATCTGAATGGCAAATTTCTTACGTTTCATAAATAAACGCTCGAATGGAATGCAAGGCAGCTGGCAACTCAAAATATGTTTACCTGCTCCAAAAATTAGAGCGTAATTGGGGCTTACTTCCTTACAAAGAGCACAGTGAAAAGAAAAAAGTTTGTTTTTCTTTCCCTTCAAAAGTTGGTAATTAAGGGGATGTAAAAAACAAAATACTTACGATAAGAAACAGTTTTCGAGGAAACATAAGATGCGTAAGTTTAACTTGCTCTTTCGCTGTTTTGTAGATGAATCTGTAATCCAGCACATATTACTTCCCACAAATACCTAAGTATTTCCTCCATACACAAAAAAGGTCGTCAGATTATCTCCATAATTGACGACTAGACTGCCTGAAGATGCCATTTGATTGCAGGTGGAAATGTGATTCGCAATTTGCAGACAGAATGAGTTGGATAAACATCAGACAGGAAGGCAAGACAGACAGGAAATAAGTAATGTGCTCAACAGGCCAGAAGCCATCCGACCGACTGAGCGACCGACCGACCTACCGGTTGTGACATAAATCCCACGCCTACGCCTAGGCCTACGGCGTACACAAATCAGCATTGGGTCACAGTAAATTTAAAAACGGAAATTTTCGACCCATGAGGGAACGAAAACAAACAAACGAAAGTCCTTCACATGGTGACCATTCACGCAACACGAGCAGGACGACCGGGCCTCCCCTGATCCCAGGACTCTATGGTTTTTGTCATTCATAGACCACTTAATACTGGCGCGACCCCTCCGAGCCCTCGGCCGTCGGCAGTCGAAAGCCGGAACCGAATCGAGTACGAGGCGGGACACGAAGCGCGTAGGCTATAAAAAGCCATCCGTCTCGGAACAGGCAGC